TTCCATGACATGAACAATTCTCTTTGTTCCTTTCCGCTCATGCATGTGTAGTTTCCTTCAGTTGCATCCAAATCTAAGGTGGCTGTGTGCATGCTGCTAGTGGCTGGAGTTGCATCCGTTTCCACTCCCAGCCAGCCATAACTGAAGTGACCACGACAATCTCGATCTCATCAAGTTGCAGCTTGCAACTATGCATGCATGCTTCCCATACCGCTAGAAACCGACCTTTCCTCCTTTTCTTTTCTTTATTTACTCACTTTTTTGGCCTATCCTTCTGATGTGCCCATGCTTTTCTCCCTCTTTATATGTCCTAATTTGTTTAATTACCATTCGGAAAAACTTGATCCAAAGGCAAGATAATATTCAGAGTGAGATCATCTCCAAAGTAACTACCACTACTGTTGTAGGCTGTAGAGATCAAATTCTTGCACAGTAATTTTTCCCTCTTATTCTGGACATGGGAGGCTTGATCAAGGGATGAATATATATAGTTTCTGGGAATTATTCTACAATGAGAACAAAATTCACACGTCTTGTCTCCATCTTTTGTCGCCTTCCCCGTCCCCATAACAGAAGGATATTCTCACAGCCATGAGTTTGTTTGGCCCCTTGCTGGCCTTCTCCGCATCTGTCCCTGTTCATCCCATGCCATCAAATATTCCCCCAATTTGCCTCATCCTTAAAGGGAATTCACAGCCCACGGATGGGGACAAACTTAACACAAAAAGGAGGCCTTCCACTTTGCCTACTAGTAGAAAACACACCATGCACAAAGCCATATGGAAAGAACATATATATAGCAAGGATAGGATATGTATAATTGATATCTCTCACAAGAATAGGAAAGATGCCTTCCCCAATCAATAGATCTCCTTTGCCTTGGTTCCGAAAATATCTATTATTCTCCCTATTATGCAATTACCTATTAATGGATATTTTCTCTACCTTGATTGAATGTGGCTCTGATGTTAAGACTTTCTCTTAAAAATGGAGAAGTGTACTAGCCAGACAACATTAGATTCATGGATGCAAATCTTGAGCACGTTCCAAAAGATTATTACTACTTCGTTCATAGTTCATCTAATTTCTACAAAATTGTTTGTTAATTTGCTCCCTAATGGTATTCAGAAATCGCATGCATTGGCGGCAAGGAGTGGTACTTCTACAGCTTAAGGGACAGGAAGTACGCTACAGGCCAGAGAACAAATAGAGCAACTGAATCAGGCTACTGGAAGGCCACCGGGAAAGACCGTGCGATAAGCCGGAAAGGGTTGCTAGTTGGCATGAGAAAAACCCTGGTGTTTTATGAAGGTAGAGCTCCTAAGGGGAAGAAGACAGAGTGGGTCATGCACGAATTCCGCAAGGAAGGGCAAGGCGATCTGATGAAGTTGCCACTCAAGGTAAGCATCATTATAATTATACATGTCGAGCAAATTTGATCTTACTACTTGATACTCCACTCTTTTCCTCTTTTGTTCCTTATTTGATGGTTATAGTATAATGCATCATATGGATAGATAGTGCAAGAACTTCCACCAAAAAATTATGTATGCACAAGCAAGAAAACTATATATTTGTGGCACTTTTTTTAAAGGAAGGGGGTTGGGGCATTGAAAATGAAACTTGACAGATTTGATTTGACATGTGGTGCATTTTATGATAAGTATGGCCTAAAGAAACAAAAACCTTTGGTTCACGTGACATTCGCATGTGGAGGCGACTGGCCGGAATGCCAACTCATCCTATAATACATGTGCAATGGATAATGTAGTACGACCAGCCAGCTCACTATACATGCATATGCCCTCTCAATTCAAGATCTAGCTAGCTAGCTAGAGAGTAGAATTGAAGCGCCAACAATACAGGTAGGTCACCAAGTTGACATCTTTGTTAATGAACTCCCTTAATTTGCGATAATTAAGTGTCATGAAAATAATACTGCAAGATGTCTAAAAGCTGGTGTGGTTTGTGTTAAGACACCAGAACAGATAGTTAATTAGCTGAATTTTTCTTAGAAAATTCGTGGTAGCCAGAACATATGTTCATTATGTTAATTGTTGTTAATTAGTTGGGCCGGGTTCCGCCTGTTGATGTTCTGTACTTGATCCTTTCTTTATTTGTGGGTCACTCTCATGCCAGCTACTTACATAGATATGAGGATGATCTGGTCTCTTTTAGATGTACACCCAATTATCGACTCACACCAAGTTTTAATCATTTCTGTCAACGCATCCACGTCATTAACATACAGTTGTCGCCCAGAACAAGATAAAAATGGCCAAGTAATTTCAGTATTTTCCCACAAAACAGATTATAAATCGTTTTAATTCTTACTCAAGCTTTGCAAAAAGATTCTGCTGCCACAATCTTGATCTCATGATCACTTCAGATGCATGCATGCGTATGATATATACCAATCCACTCTTTCCTTTTCCAGTCTAACGACCTTCATGTGTAAAATTTTCATGTAAACACAGGAGGACTGGGTCTTGTGTAGGGTTTTCTACAAGACCAGGACAACCATCGCCAAGCCACCCACAGGGAGCAGCTACAACATTGGCAGTGCAGCCGCAACCTCACTGCCTCCTCTCATTGACAACTACATTGCCTTTGACCATCCTGGAATGTCGACGGTGCAAAACCTAGAGGGTTATGAGCAAGTGCCCTGCTTCTCCAATGGCCCCTCCTCTCACCCGTCGTCGTCGGCCTCGATGAGCATCCCGGTGACAGTGATGGCGCCCATGGCTGCTGATCAGGAGCAGCAGCACATGGGGAAGGCGATCAAGGACGCGCTGAGCCAACTCACCAGGTTTGAGCAAGGCAACGTGAAGAGGGAGGCGCCTGCCCAGGGTGGTGTGTTTGCTCAAGATGGGTTCGAGTACTTAGCTGAGAGTGGCTTTTCACAGATGTGGAACTCACTCAGTTGATTTTCTAGCTAGGGTATATTATTGCTAGTGCTACCAATCAAGATCTACATTTTCTCGCGAGCAATCTCCTGCATGACTTGGCAATTCGGCCAAACACAACAAATATTATCTCTCAGAACTGATGGCGCCTGGGACGGCAATTATCTCGGCATCTGGTCACGAAAATGAGGAGGCGGCGACTCCTGCCGCTGCTTGCACATGCAATTACATGAAGTGTGTCTCCTTGTCTCCTTGTGTGACCATGTCCCAGATCCCCCCAGATAACCATTCTGCAACTGGAGACGTTGCCCGTGCACAAAGTTTCAGGATCTCCGGCAATGGCCCGTAAAATCGTAAGACAGTAGTATATTGATATGATCAATGGCAAAAAGAGAACGTCGAATTGAATCAAAAGGCATCTGGACTAGACCACCCCCAGGCATTGTAAAAACTTGGTGAACCCTGATTTTGTGAGAGCACAACAAGGCTGTCCGCCGATTGTTTTCCCTGTGTTGTCCTCATGATTTTATTCATCAATATCGCTACATGTACACTCGTGTGCACGGTACTGTAGATCTGCGTTCCACTGGCAGTCTTCGATCTCCTAGGCGTACTGCTGTGTGTACGCGCGCTGATTTTGTGAAATACATAGAAGGGACGGACAGTCAAAAGTCGACGGTATAATTGCAAACCTTGCAACCTAAGCAGTGGCGGATCTGCCATAGGGGAAAGCAGGGACAGCCGCTCCAGGCCCCGAAGCTCCAGGAGCAGGGTGCCCCCCTGCCAGCCCCCGAAGCTCCAGCCTCATAATCTCCATGGCTGTCATGAGCGCAGCCTCATGTTGTTATTCTGTTCGAAGGGGTAAGATAGGAGGAAGAAAAGAAAACAAGACGATGGGCTTTTCACTTAAGTCTGTGATTCATGACAAACATGTCACGAACAAGTGAACGGTTAAAAGAACAGCTACTATAGAAGATCTAAGACTAAGAAGGAGGTAAAAGATGATTACTCCAGGTTAAAGACCAAAGAGAAGAGCAATCGTAAAGTAGGCACCAGTAGAGATTATATCGGGTTAAGTGGGCTGAATAACTTGATAATCTTCGTCCAATTAGTCGTCACTGCGGTATTGCTGTTAACATGTGATCGCAGATGACATGAAATGGCAGCAGTCACAAGGGTGGTAGCAAACAAGCTCACCACATTAAGGTGCAACATAACCACATCAGCGAATGTTGGCAACCGAACCGCTTCAACCCAGACCAAAATCCCCAAACACGGAAATGCATGGCAACCGAACCGCTTCAACCAAGACAAAAATCCCAAAACACGGAAATGCATGGCAACCGAACCGCTTCAACCCAGACGAAAATCCCAAAACGCGGAAATGCAACCTGCTATTATGTGGACAAGAAAACACAGTGCAGAACATGGCCAGATCACAGAGATGCAGGGGGGACAAAATCCATGCAAGGTCAAGGGTTCGATCCCGAGTTTATGCACCATTTTATGAATATTTGTTTGGTTTTTATAAAAGACCAATGCATCTAAAAAAACAGACAAGGCGTCGGTTCACGATTTTTCCGGTCGGACCGCCGATCAGGTATGGTTTTCTACAATGGTCTGCCTGCATTGCATGGTGAACCCCAGCAACGACTTCTGCCCGAGAAAACACAAGAAAAGCTGCATCCCCATGGATAGTACTCCATGCACAAGTCGTTGCCCGCAGGTCCTGCTGCAGTGCACAACGACGCCAACAGGTCCTCCTGCACCTTTGGGAGCATCGATCACAACAATGGCGTCGTCTTCATGCTTCAACATATGCTGCGCAATCATCAAATCACCAATTTCACCACGGAGTCCCAGAATACAACGATATAATCTGCAGACAAATCAAAAATGAAATGGTTGTCACCTTGCAGAAGGAGGCATCGTGCCGTTCGCAGCACTGGACAGCTCGGATGCAGCCCGAGGGGGTTCTGAATCAACCGTCTTCTTCAGAAATGAATCGTGTTTGCTCGTTGAACCTGACTGAGGCGAATCGACTATGCATTTCTCACGTGTTGGCCCATCCGCCGCGACGTATTTCACAGCGGACTAGGGTTCGCTCGGATCAATCCTTTTGAGAAACACAACTTTTGGTCTCTTGGGATGCTTCTTCGCTGCGGTTTCCCACATTTCTGCCGTTCTTGTACTGACCATAGAATCGAGGGCAACTTCCTCTAGACAATCATGGAACTCGATCCTCATGCCTGAAAGATCAAAGAGGTTTTCACAGAGCAGCTGGACTGAGACAAGGTACGTCAGGGCTCCCTCTTTGATTGCAGGGAGGATGGGCATTTTCACCACAAGGCATAGGCGTTGCAGGCTTGGGAAGTCCCCATTGTCTATGGTGAAGCTCCCAAGGTCATCCTCAACCAGCTTGAGGTAAAGCAAGTAGCGCAGCTTGCGCAGGTTCGATAGATCATGCCCCATCAGATTAGTCGATGAAAGGCACAACTCCGTGAGGCCACACAGGGATGTAACAAACTGAGGCAATACACTAAGCCGGCCGTGCAGTTTCAGCGAGCTAAGATAACAATATTCTTGAATAGAACCCAGGAAGTCACCCATGGTATTCCCAAGATTGAGTGACAGAGAACGAACGCCGGTTGTGTCCATGCCATCCTGAGCAAACTTCTGAACTGCCTTTGAAACGTGAGGCAAGCCTCTGTTGTCTGCGCCAGTGGATTCACACCATATCTTAACCTTTTTCAGTTTTTTCATATGAGCCATCAGTTGTAGAAACCCAGGGTTTCCATCTGCATAAAATCCTGCAAGAGACTTCAACTTACTTTTTCTTTGCGAGAACTCCGCTATTTCGCTCTTTCTCAAGTCCTTTTTCCCAAACTTAAACTTTCCAAACAGGTAGGCTAGGTGAGGCAACCCAATGACTTCCACCGGCAATATCTCTATCTTTGTCTTCCTCAGATCCAGGGTCTCTAAACAGTGTAGCTTGTCAATTTTCTTCGGAAGGTTGCTGATAGTGCCCCCAAGGCTCAGATATTTTAGATGCCACAGCTTATGTATGTCCTTGAGATGACTGTCCTCCAAATCATTGCATTCTTCCAGATCCAACACTCGCAGCAGCTCGCACCTGCAAAACTCAGAAGCAGCTTCTCCCGCATCCCCAGAGATGGTCAGAGACCGGGCGCGGAATTTCTCACTGCCAGCTGCATCATCGCTTGCTGGACTTGTACGCTGGTTTGAGCTCAAGGTGCTGCCACTTGCATGGTTTTGGATGAACAGGTGACGAAAATTACTCCGATTGTGATCATGAAGAGATGTGATGAAGTTATCAGACATTGACTTGTGCAGCATGAACTCGTGCATGATTCCATGAGTTCTGCACGTCTTCACTTTTGCATTGTTGCTAGCATCGATCGGCCGGATGATATTCCGGTCAATAAGTTCCCGGAAGTTTTCATCTGCTACCTCCAGATCACTGCGTTTATATTGACACTGGACATACCCTTCAGCTAGCCATCGCCTGATTAAAGTATTCCTCCTGATTGGGCGACCATTTGGGAACACACTCGTGTATAGCAAGGAGGTCCTCAGAGGATAACCAGACAGGCTGCTGTAGTTATTTACAAGAACCTGTTGCAATTTTGTGAAGTCTGCCTCCTTCTCCATATGATGCCCGAGGTTGTGGCAAACTCGCGCACAGTGACTTCCCGTAAGCTCATTCTCGCCTAGCAAAAACTTGGCCATACACACAAGAGCAAGTGGAAGGCCGTCACACTTCTCCACAATTGCTGTTGAACCCCACTCCAGTTCAGGTGAACATCCTTGGAAGAAAATCTTCTTCATTAGCAAAACCTTGGAGTGCTCTGCGTTAAGAATGCTCATCTTGTAAACATAACCGTCACCTGAGCTGCAAGCATTAGCTACTGACTGGAGAGCCGTGGTAACTATAATTCTGCTTTTTGCTTCCCTGGGTAAGATGGATTTGATGACATCCCAGTGCTGCTTGTTGATGTCATCGATTACAATTAAACACCTGGCAGACAGATTGACAAGTGAATAAGTTAGCGAGCAATTGGTTGCCAATTCACTGGTTCACTACATGCAGAGCAAACCTACATTAGCACTCAAATGTACACAAAATCGATTGTTTGTATGTGCATAACAGGAAATAATCAATGGCAAGGGTTTAAGTCTTGCTTTTGGAAAGAGAGGAATGCAACAGTTTTTGAAGGTACAGATTTAGACTTGTACTTGTGAGACTGTAAACTATAATGTATATGTTGTTTCATTTTACACCATTGTTTAAGATACTCGGGTCTTCGATTGTAGTAATCGACTAGTTAAAAACTTAAAATAAGTGTGTATGACAAGTAGACGCGTAACAAAGGTTAATGAGAAAATCAGATTGAGTGTCCAACTAAACTTGCCATACAGCTAAGTACAGTACACAAATAATAGGTAACTAATTAGTAATTACAGTTACTAGCTCCTATATTTTCACAAACAATTCAGTACTCCAAACTGTCCATGTTCATGTTTTTATATATTAATGAATAGTGCATGTCCATGGAGTAAGATTCAGTACTCCATTAGTAACAGTAATATGAACATAGTACAGTTACAGTTACTGAATTGTAACTGTAATTGTACTACTCTATATGGATATGCGCGAGGAGCTGCTCGCCGGATCCCGCCCTGCCGCCATCGCCATGTGGCTGTCCCTGGCGCTGGAGATCATGTCGAGCTCGGTCCGGATGAAGCGGATGTCGTCCTTGAGGCCCCTCGACAGCTTGTGCTTCTCGCTCAGCAGCGCCACCAGCTTCAGCACCACCTCCTTGGTCAGAGCGCTCGCCACCGCAGCCTCCATCCCCTCCCTCCCTCCCTCCTGCTCCCACGACGGGGATGGCGACCGTAGCAGTGGCATTGGGCCTTGCCTATATAAGCGTCGTCCGCTGCCGCGACCAACAGGACAGGAGTACGACGAGCACGAGCTGTGCGGTGCACGAGTGGCTGCCTGCTTCCTCACTTTCCCCTTCCTCGCCGTGGCTGGCTAGGCGATTCTACTGTTTTTTTTTTAATCGGGTGATCCTACTAATGCTACTAATGGAGCAGTTGGTGAATAGTCCGCCGGTTATTTTTCGCTAGTTTTTTTTTGTCTCGTCACTTTTGTCGGTTTTATTTCGCTGGTTTTATTTTGTCTCCCTCCCACCTGCCTTTTTGCTTCACCACCCACATAAACCCATCAGATTAGTTACCATATAAAAAATAAATCACAATCAATCAAATATTGATGGACCACCCACATAAACCCATCAGATTAGTTACCATATAAAAAATAAATCACAATCAATCAAGTATTGATGGGATATTTCCTTATATTGATGTGATTTTCTCTTTCTTATCATCAATCATCTTTACTGCATAAAAAATGCGTAGCTTTCCTTTTCCTGCCAACTGACCGCGTCCCGTCGCCCTACGTGCGCCCTCGTTGCTCTGCCTCCCGCACGAAAAAAAACCTCTCGTTTGACCTCCCCCAAACCCCGCACGATGGAAAAACTCAGCCGCCTGCTTCCTCTCCTCTCGACCGCTCCATACGTCCAGATCGCAGCCCCATCCCCATCCTCCTCTCACGTCACGGCAGCCGATGGACTGCCGCCACCACCCTCCTACTCTCTCGCCGCCGCCGTCCTCCCGCTCGCTCACCGCCGCCGTCGCCACCAATCCCGGCGAAGGCGCCGTTGTTGCTATGTCGCCTCCTATCCCCATCCAAGCCTGACCATGGCAACAACACCCTCTCATGTGTCACGCGGTAAGGTCAGTCGCCTGCTTCCCCTCCTCC